GGAAAAGTATTGATGCCATTTGGCGTTTTCTTGCTCTGAAATGGGTTGATCATGTCTCAGATATAACTTGAATATTTCTGCACTTTTGTCTCTCCAATTTATGGATGGGTCTGTTTTGAATTTACGACACAAAGATGTTGCCTCTTCGAGGAAAAGATGCAATTTGTGATCGATAAGTATGAACACTGAAATGATAACAACCCTCTACTCTTGATAAATTATCTATCTGAGGCAAGTTTGAGAACAAGATAATGTTCGAGCTTGTGGTTGGTATCGTTTTCATCAGTCTCTAGTGTTGGTGTCGTTGATTCGTTGTCGTCAACATGTTGCTTCTGCATGAGTTCCAAGTCCAAAGTCTCTGATCCAACAATAAAGAATCTTCTGTTCCCGAAGTTCGAGTAAAATTTTCCATTACAGTCTTTAAATACCGTTTCAGCACGCTGTTGTAAATCTTGTTTCCCTAATCAACAGAAAGATGGTTGGTAAAACGGATTATTACTTTTCGTTTACGAGTTGTGGAGTGAGTGAGGGCCCAAACTTTGCATGTTTGTGTTTTGAAGCTAAAACATTTTGGATTGCCAGAGTGCGTCATCGACAATTGGTTCTGGAAAGTATTTTGTTGTCATTGCATCTGCCTTTCGAAAATATTCGATCCTTTCTGACAAGTTAAATAAAGCGAGAAATTGTTGTGGAGCAAGTCGGTCTTGTGGGTTTTCTTGCAATGCCTTTGATAGGAATGTTTCTAACTCTGAAATGTCCTCATTGTCATGCCATAATAATTTTGAAAGTGTAGTTTTGGTTGGTTCATAATCTTTGACGCGTAAATTCAAAGATTCCAACACAACAAGCCCAAGAGAGTAGATGTCGCTTTTGGGAGAAACAATGTGTTCAAGTTTTCTTTCTGGAGCACGATAACCTTGAGAGTATGATTTGCTTTTCACAACTTGACCGTTGCGTTTGCATTCATAGGTTGTCCAGTACTCTTGCGTTCTGTCAAACATCTCTGAAATTTCAAAATCGATCAAAAAGTAATGATGATCAAATCGAATAATGTTTAGAGGTTTCACGTCGTTATGAATCCGTCCCAATGATTCTAAAATCGCAAGTTGACATAATACATCCAACATCATGTGTTTGGTTATTGTTATTTTGTTTTCCATTTCCATTTTCCAAACAGTTTCCAAGTCAAATCCAGCTAAACTGACCAAGCATGATGGATAGATTCCACATTTCACATATAAAGTTCTCATTTTCTTACAAATTGTTATTGTTTTTTCAATCTCCAATGAAATTTCACCTGTTTTCACATAGACGTCAGTGGAGGTTGTTGTACTGTTTGTCAATTTTCCGCTTTGGATCATCTTTGAACCGTGTTTGATTAGGTTTGGATTGGGAGTGAAAGTATAGTCCACTTCAGAAATTTGTATCGTTCGTGCTTGCTTTTGAAAACTGTGTGCCGATGATATTAATGAAGTTGGTCGTTTGGTTGACAGGTATTGTTGCATTTCCTCTTGATGGACGTTTTTCATTGCTGTCACAATTAGTGCTACTAAATGAACTCGCTCTTCCAAATGGTCATGTTTAAAGCTTCCAATAAATTTCATGTTGTAATGTATCTTAAATCCTTCATTCTCTTCAACTATATTGCTACACATTGCATACACATTTGTATATTCAAGGTCACAAGTGATACCCAATGTTGTAACGTTATTATGCCATGGTTGTAATTCATCTCGAACCAAGTTTCGAAGAGTGCAAGAGTGAGCAATTCTTGTCATTACCACCATCTTTGGGAAGTCTTCATGCAATAAATGATGGCTAAACTTTTTTACTTTGTCCTCTCTTAATAATGAAATGTGATAATCATGTCCAGGTTTGTGGTAAATAATGTCGTCCGGTCTTAGTTTTTTAACATGAGGTGTTAACCTTTCCAGATGTTTTGACACATTTGTAAGGTCACCAATTTCAACATTTCTATCAAAATATACGAGTCATTCATATGGGTTGTATATATTAGAAACGTACCCATTTCTATAACAGTTCTGTTTCAACAGAGAACACAAATGAAAAAGTGGGTCAAAGTAAGTTTTGGCAAAAGCCATCTCTGATATCGAAGTACCACAGTAATAATTTGGAGCAAAATTTTTCGGATTCAATGCTTGGAAAATAAAATTAAACACATGTCTATCATACGGAACGTTCAATAGTTGTGCCAATTTCAGTAACGATTGTTCTTCTTCTTGAATATTTAAATTTTCCTTCGAGAGAATGGTTAGATACTCCTTACATTCATTAAAAAAGCTAGTATCTTCAATGGCATCACATTTAGTGGCTGTAGATACCTCTATTTCCAAAGCTTTCATCATGTACTTGACGAGATTAATACGGTCATCTGCAATTTCTTTGGTGCCACTCCAGTTGTCAGGAAGCTTCATTTGCTCAATCTCCTTCTCGTTCTGAATGATGTACTGGCTATTTTCACCCTCTTTCTTGCTTTCATTGCGCTCAATTTGTTGGACTATTGCTATCATAAGCGATTGCACGGCCGTTGTATCATCCCTGAACGAAGATTAGGCAGTTTAAAAATTGGAAACACTTACAATAGCTTCTTCTTTCGTTCTGAGTGTTGATTGGAGCTTTTCGTCCCTTTTGGGGTTGAGTATTCCTTTTTTACCGTCTCTTGTTTTCTTTTCTTTCTGTTATCATCGTATGAAGAGTCATCCTCATCATCTGCTGGCACATAATCCTCGTCATCTTCATCTTGGTCTGATGGCAATTCCTTATCAAAACCCAGATCGTCATCATCTTCTTCTGATCTAGATGATGAGGATTGCTCTTGTTCTATAATCTCAGGAGATATTGCTTTTTTAAGAGGTTCTTTCTTAGGTTTTGATTTTGCAGTTTCAACAAACTTTGAACTGCTAGAAGCAACATAATTGGTCGTATCTTGCTGTTGTGATGAGGTTGGTTTCTTCCGTTTTCGAACAGGTGTACTGCATACTGTTTTGTATATATCATCCACTGTGTCCATATGATTGCTGTCCTTGATTTCAGAAATTTCAGTTGAAAGACAAGGCTTGCTCTGAACAGCTTCCGACGTTTGTAATAATACAATTTTGTGTCTCTTTCTTCTCGTTTTTTGGTGGTAGTTGTTGTGTGTTGCTTGATGGATTCTGCGGGTTGGCACCAATCTCTTTGCTGGCATGAAATGATGATGAAGAAGACTCGGAGGCCATTGCATTTCAAATTATTTTAGAGACTGAAGTGCACCCGCTTGTGAATTGAGAGAATTTTTTTTCATCAAAATTTGTGAAACGAACAATTTTGGCGCCAATTATTGTCATTTTTTATTATTTGACTTGCACAAGATCTTGATCTGTAATCATCTTCCGTTGGACGAATTATTAGGTTTTTTCCAGAGAAAAACGAAAATGAAGAGAAAAAACGAAAGCGTGTTGAGCACAAAAGGAGGAAGAGAATGCAAAACGAAAGTTGTTGAAGGAACAGAAAGCTAATGCAGTATTTTGTCGTTGTCATCGTGCGTGTTTGACAAACAAATCATTCCCATGCAAAAGTGAGGGTAAAGCATGCACTGAATATTGGTCTTGTAAAGCGATGTCTGGAAACACCAACACATAAGATACACCAAGTGCAGTAGTATCATCTAGTTCCGATCACGTATATTGTGTGAAGAAGTGTGGTAAATCTAATAATCAGCAAAATATGCTTCAGTGTTATGATTGCCATAAATGGTGTCACAATCATACTTACTGTTTGCCACAACAAAGAAAGATCGGAAATAAAACACTGTCTGTCACTGTGTGTATTGATTGTGGAGAGAAAGAGGACTAAA